CCCCTTTGCAGCCTGGACAACCGAGTGAAAGAGTGCTTAACTGAGATGCAGTTGGAAGAAGGAAGTGAGATGTTGAACATGTAGCATGGAAGAGAAATGTGGTCTGTGTAATGATATAGTTAGGTGTGAATTTGTGGTTGTTTTGGTGGATAGCTTTTGTATGGTTGTTGGTAGCCATTAAAGCCATTTGGTTGTACGAATGACTGCAATGCTTTTGCCTTTTTTTGTTGTTGATGTTGGCTGTAAAGTAAGGAGAATCTGTGGGGCTGAAATTTTGCCTTGGTGTGGCCCGGATGTAATGCTTTAAACATTTGAAAGCTGTCAAAACTTTTGGGATGTACTGTGCTCACTTGACCTTTAATATAAACTACTTTTTTGTCCTTTCGAAGTGTATTCAATTATGTTTCCTGCTTGGTGAGTCATTTTGCATCCAAGTATGAAGTTCCAATTTTATACAGAATGTATGATTTCAGTCTAAAAGACTTAAACCTCATGGGTCTGTATGGGTCTCATGAAATGCTATGGAAAGAGGAAACAAAGCTGTCACTACAACAAAACAAGCCTTTGGCAACGCTCTCAAAATGTTACATGAGCTCATTAAAATGTTACAAAAGGTTAATGCAACACTTTTATGGGCGTTACTTCAGGTCTCGTTGCATAAAGTAATATGCAACACTTTTCTCTTATTATGCAACATTGAATTAAAGTGTTGCATAAATATCTCAAATGCAACACTTTTTTTGCAACACTTTGACGAGCATTTTATGCAACACTTTTTCAAATAAAATGCAACACTTAAGTTTTGATTTTAGGCAACACTTTTTAATATATATGTAACATATTTGCTATACTATTTTGCAACACTTATTATATTTCGTAACAGTTTAATGAATACTTTATGCAACATTTTATTCAAAATTGGCAACACTTCTCCACAATTATAAGTCACACCCTTGCCAATATTTATATTAACAATTTTATAACAATTTATTTTAGTTTTGAACTACACGTATATGAAATATGAAACTTTATACTATGTATAATATAATATTACAAGTATTAAAATATTCAATATATCATATGCTAGAAAAAATATCTTGAATACATCTTAAAGAATGTATCATAAACTAAAAACTAACACCACCCAATTCGAAAAAAATAATCAGAATATCATAGAATACTTCTAATAGCAACTAAATATCTTCTAACTAGCCGCAAATCGAATAAACAGAAGACACGCAGCTTCCTTCATTCTTCAACTCTTTTGTCTTCATTTCTTCAACTCTTTTGTCTTAGCAATGTCTTCATTCTCATGTTCCACATCATAGTGCTCATAACTGTATCCAAATCATTTTATGTCATTGAATACGAATTCAGCCACTTTTTCCTTAGCAATGTCTTCTTTCTCATTTTCCTCTTCACTTTTGTCTGTAATTTGTGCCTCATAATCCTGCATTTCAACCTAAAACGTAAAACAGTACACCATATAAAAGGGCAATGTGGCAGCATTATAGAGTCTTTTAAGCCCTACTACTTCATCCCATTCTTGTTATTACACTTTTTCCCTAATTAACTTGTCTCTTCATATGACCATTCTTTGTTCCAGTAGTATGTCACATTTCAAGAAAAATGACAATCTTGATTTGACGATTTGCAACTATGATGCAAACTGAATTTCTCAAACAACATCCGAATATAGAGCCTTGCACACTACTGTAATCAATATGCAATAGTAACTAATAAACTGAAATAAAGAAGCATCCATCACTGCTTACTTAATAGAGGATGGATGGCCAAAACGAAATAGGGCTAAGCTTCAGAACCCATGAAAGTGGAAAATAAAATATGATCAATTAAAAACTTCAGGACTAAATTGAGTACTGTCATAATAGCCAATAACTATTTTTGCATTTCCCCAATATATAGATACATATTGATATCCTCATTCATGATCATAATAAAAATCAGTAACATACCTCATACAATCTTATGATCTAAAATAGGTTTTCTGACATACTTCGGTTTGAATATACTAGCAGAATATCATTTATGTCTTCGATTTTGTCCTTGTTTTGTGCTCATGATCCTTCATTTTAACCTACAATAAAAAATAATATAACATTTAGAGAAAGATTACCCTGAATAAGACTATAAGAGAAAAGGATAACAAGTTTCTATACAACCAGAAAAAGAGAAAAGGATTAGCAAGAGTTCCTTATACAATTCTTGCGTCATGGTGGCTCAATTTGAAAATGTGGGTTCCACAATTATTCTTCTCTTGCACAGTGTAAAAGGTGTGATTGACCTCCAGAAGGGTTTCTCATGAATAAAATCATTGTAGACTTACATATAACATCAGTCATTAAATAAAGTTAAAGACTTGATTCTTTATGACCACCTAACTAACTCAAATCAAGTATGTTTTAGATTAATATGTACTATAGATAATTACCTATTAAGAAAAACAAGTGTGACAACACTAAATTAAGTAGCTCGAACCTTTAATGGAAGAATGGTCTGAATTCAGTTAAATTAAATTAAACATAAACTAATAGAAAGATTGAACATAGCTATACAAATTAAACAAAAACATGAAACTGTCAAATTCATTCACATGGAATCTAAACAACTTAAAAATTGCAGCGAAGGGATACAGTAAAATAAATAAGATGAAAACCTGGGAACTTTAGAAAGAATATGATCAGAGTACTTTCAAGGCTAAGAAAGTGATAACAATTAGCTTATTAATGAAGGATTTCTAAAAAGAGGATTAATATGACATGGAAGGAATAGATTTAGAATGATAGCTTGAACTAACTTGATTCTAATGGTAACTTTACATCTCAATTTACTGATAAAAAACTCCTACAATTACTTTTTTTTTAGCCCGGAAGGCAAACCACCCATCGGTGGGGCAGATGTCTGGCATCAACTGCCAAAGCTTTATTAAGAATAAAAAAGAATATACAGACGAAGAGGGGGACCAAACCGAAACCTCTCCCAAAGTGCAAACAAAAACAAAAGTAGGACCATCCTGGTGTCCCATATGCTTTAAAGAAAAACAAACTCAACAACATTGTTGTTATACTTTTCCTAAAGTAAAGCCTATATGAATATTGCAGGTTGGTGTTCCTTTTCAACAAGAAATCAGGTAAGTGTTGTTTAGATGGTGGCTTGGAGCGGGTCTAACTACACTGACGGGATGCTTATAGGGTGTTATTCTAGGAATAGTCCTTTAACATCTTTGGAAAGGAATAGCTGCAGCCATTTGGAGAATCAACCGTTTAATGCAGCTCAAATTCATTACAAATCAAAGCATACATTCATGAATGTCAGCTATAAGGATGCAAAATTTCTCAATTTTAATAAGGATTTATACCAGGACCAAGGTCTCATTCCCAAACTCTAAGAGATAGTCAACCCAGAATTTTAAGTTTGGAAGAAAACTCAATCTCACCTCCTCAGGTTGAATATTGATGCATCTTTCTCTAATGGAAGAAGAGCGAGAGGGGAGATTCTCCGGGATAACAGAAGGTTGCAGCCTCATTTATTCTATCTGCTCACTCGATTCTCCTGCGTGCTGAACTGAAATCCATTATCACAGTTATTAAATGGTGTGAAACGTTTGTATATACAGATTACAAAATAAAATAAAAAATAGATTTGGAAGCATTCTTCAAGACTATAACTTAGGAAGCTAACCACAACAATAAAAAGAGAATTTCACGGGGATTTTTCTCCTGATTTGAATTCTCAGATTCGTCATATTCGAGATCTGTCTCAAATTTAAAGCCACAAAACAAGTCTTGGATAAAAAGTATACGGAAACCGAAGACAAAGTATTTTAAAATCAAGTTTACCTGAATATGGAAGGAGGGCAATTCAGAAGGAGGCCGGCAGAGGAGCAGCGGTAGGCGCAGCCGCGCAGGGGCAGCAGTAGGAACATCAGCGACAACAGGCGTAGGAGCGGAGGCAGGAGCCGTAGCGGCGGCAGGCGTAGGATCGGAGAGGCAGCAGGCGCAGTAGCGGCGGCAGGCGGAGAAGCGGCGGCAACGGAGGAGTGACGGTTTCGGCCAGATCTGGTCTATGCTTCTTTCGCAATACGCGAAGATGTTCTTGCAAATATACGAATTATCTGGATGCTCCTCTGCTTTTCTTTATTAAAAATCTAACATCGTAAAACTGAACAAATTGATTTTTACTTATTTTTAAACATTTGTTGCATCTAATCAAACGTAACATTACTTAATCATGTTACATACTTCGTAGTACGTATTATATATTATAATTACATTTATTGTTTTTAGCAACACTTTGAAAATAAATGTTACATTATACTTGATTGTTGTAACATTTTTTTAAAAGTGTTGCATAATTTGAATACTTCAGATGTTTTGCAACATTTAAATATAATTGTTGCATAATGTTAATGGTAGATATTATATGTAACAAATGTAAAAGTGTTACAAAGAAAATGTTACAAAAGGTCAACTTTGTTGTAGTGTGTGTTATTTCCTTGAACTCTTGTCTTTGGTTTTACCACACAAAATGACAAATGTATAAATGATTAAGTTTTGCATCCAACTATTAACATCCAAGTATTATACAGAACATCACATTTACTTTTACCTAAATGATTTAGTTTTACAAATACTTAAAGTAGAACAATTTTGAATCCAACTATTAACATCCAACTATATAATGTCCTTTTCCCGTTTACACAACTATTCAATTATTGAAGTAGATTCCAAATGCATTGTATAAGAACAATGTTGACACTCAGAGCAATTGTAAAGACAAGCAGATAGGAAGAATTTTTCACTCTCTCCTAAGCCTTAAAGTTATGGTATTAAAGAGAAGTTGTGGTCAAATTTTGCACAAATCAATTCATTTTAAATGTTAAAATTCAGAGCTAGGTGAAAATTACTTCTGCAACTACATTCAGAGTGGTGTTAAGCGTGCACAATTACACAGGTAAAAATGAATTCTAATGCCATCACTTTAAACTCAATTGAATAAATATGTCCCAACAAGGATCATGTTAACATTACCTCTGCAAATGAAAGCAGACTACAAACAACATCACTTGCTCAAATACTTCTAAATTCCTAGTACATGTACCTACTCTTGTTGACATTCATATACAGAATACCAAGAAAACAAACAACTACAATGAACACTAAACCACACATCTGCCTAAATCTTTTGTTATCTTGTGCTTCTTTTTCAACAACCTTTACAACACATCCAAGTTTTTCTTCAACAGCACATATGTGTTCAGCAATCCCAGAAACCAAGGCCTTCATATCATCTGTATTCGTCTTCATCAATGTACCAACAAGTGGCGCTTTTCTTTCAGCCGAATCTGAATCCTTCCACATGAAAAAACCACAACCAGCACCCTGAAATTTAGAAGAACATGGAGACAGTTTCATTATTTTTTATGGAAAACAAAATATAACAAATTTAACACAATACGTAATTACTTACCAGCCAATTTTGACACCCATAAAAACTTCTCCCGCTTCCCCGTCCAACACATAGAGGGGATTTCAATCCACAATGGCAGTACACAGCCGGATGGTAGTCTAAGGTACAGCTTCGCCCTTTGCTGGGAGTAGATTCAGATGCACTCGACATTCCCAAGGGAAAGGTCACACGGCCAGATGACGGACGACGAATCTGAGGAGATAAGGGTTGGTGGTCGAAAATTAATAAGATTAGGTCGTAGATAAGGGTGAGGAGGACTACAGATTAATAATCCAGGTGGATTACTCTGCCAGCTTTAAAAAAAATCCAAATAAGAAGCCAAGTAGGCTTTTCACAGGCTTACCGGTTGGTGACCTCCAAAAAAGGCCAATTGGTTAGTTTTTGTGACTTCATGGGCTTAAATGATCGATGTTGGAGTACATGGGTCTAATTGACTTACCGTACAGAGTAGGTGGGCTTATTTGACAGTTTTCCCTAAAATGTACTAAAGAAGACAGTAACGAAGAGTTAATGGTAGCAATTCAAATATGTACACTAGTTGTGGAACTAGTACTCCATATTGTTTTATTAGAACTAATTGCCTTGCACTCATTACTATTCAGGTTTGACTACTCTGGCAAGGTAAACAAGCAATTCAAATATGTACACTAACGCGTTGACACATTTTTTTCAGCGGTAAGGTTGGAGTTCTTTTTCTGATTAAATTGGCAGAAGTTACTATAGACAATCATTTTAGCAATTTCTCATATAATTTTATCTGTAATTTATTAATAAAATAAATTTTAAATATAATTTTTTTTCATGGATCAGCATATCAGTGAGTCCCTATACCGTCCAGCCGGCTGTACGGCTTGCACCGTACAACCGGTGGCATTTTTGTAAATTACATAAAAATCTCGATTTCTGGTAAATGAGTCTTATTGCATTTGTAGTAAGTATCATACTTATATTGTTGAGTATTATCAGTAAAATATTGAGCATCGTAATTTTTTATTCATATCTTCTAATTCGTTTTTTTTCCTTCTTATTTTTTCTTTTATAAAAAGTCATTAAATTGTATCTATAATCAACTTCTGTGAATTTGAATATGTGAATCTAACGCAATATGGTACTTTTGAAATATGCATTTATATGACATTTAAAAAATGAGCATAACAACAATATCAAATGAGCAAACGTAACTTACAAAATGAGCATTGATATGAAAATTGTAATTTTTATTAATTGAACATCAAAACATTTTTATTGAGCATCAAACCTCCTCTATTGAGTATTAGAATCATGAGATTGAATATTATGATCTGCTCCCGTGTCTGATATTTTTGAAATATGAATTGATATAACATTTCAAAATGAGCATAACACTAGTAGTACCAAATGAACATACTTAACTTACAAAATGACTATTACAACATTTAAAAACTCGTTTGTATATGTTCATTCTTTTTATGTGTTATACTCATTTGAATTTAACAAAAAAATCATTGTTATAATAAGCCGGTGTAATAGCTGTATTATAGAAAAATGTCATTAGATTGGATGGATTTCAGAGATGTTTAACGCAAAGATGATTTGTGGATGCTTTTCACTTCGGCGGGTTGAATCATTTGCAGAGATGTTTGACAGTTGGTTTAATCCTACGAAGGTAAATGGATTCATGATCGATTGCACTGGTCCCATCCCTAGGGATAGTGATTTTCATCGCTGCGGCAGAATCGACGAAGAACGGGAAAGACACCAACAAATCGTCCGTCTCCATGGCTTCTGAAGTCGGTGTGGTGCAATCCGTTCAGCGCAACCTCGATCGTAATTTCCCAGCCGACAACCTTTTACAGCCTTAACATTCCATTATATTACAAAAATACTCGACTGTACCATGCTCAAGATACAGCCGGTTGTAGGATATATTTTACACATCAGTCAGTCCAATCACTTCAAGTAAAACTTCATAAATTTCAGTATAATTAATCGATTTAACCAATTTCAATAAAAACAGACTATGTAAATAGAATTACCCATTAGATAAGCTATTCCAAATAGAAAAATGTTGTACCAAGCCCACCATCCACAAAGTTTATAAGGTCACGTAACAAAAAATTACAAGTCCGCAAAAAAGTTGTGATTTTTTTTACAACTACTCAATCAGATATTCAGAGCAATAACGAATTAACTACTACGGAGTCCTAATTACTGAAAATATTTTCCAGATTAGGCGATAATAACTGCTAGTCAAAGAGCCGTGGACTGGTTTAGGGGTGGATGAGGGGTGGGGTAGTAACAACTATAAATACGTATAAATGTAGACTTTGTGGTCGTATACTTGTTGTACAGTTATACGCGTTCATACTCCGTATTTCACACGTCAAATATGCGTACATTTCCATAGCCAGGTGGGTGGGGGTGGAGGGCAGATATTGTATTGGAAGGACGCAACAAAGCCGGGCACAACTCTGTCGCAAAAACACTATCTTTCATTCGTTTGGTGTGTTCACTTTGATATTCTTGCAAAATAGCTAAAAAAAGCCTTTCCCGAATCCTTCTTGCTGCTGCTCTCTGAGTGTTTGTAAATTGTATGTGTCTCCTCTGCGCTGATCAGGAAGACGGGTGCCCAGATTGGTCGATTGGTGGACAAAGATCCAGATTCTGTAGACGCATTAAGCTAATTGCTTTATGTTTCTTGGGATTGAGATGTAGAAGTTGTCAACTGGATTGCTCTTTGAGTTAATCTGACATATTTTGGGAAAGTGGGTTTTTGTAAAGTTTTAATCTTTGAGGGAATCGCATGGGTTGTTTCCCTTGTTTTGATTCGAAAGAGGAGGAGACGCTGAACAAAAGAAGGGATGATCCCAATGAAGTTCATCCACCTGTTCCCTGCCACATGTCCAGATTATCTTCAGGTTCTGCTGCTTTTCTCAAGTACCATTCTCATGGGTTTAACATTAGATTTGAGTTTATTTCTTATACGAGATTCATTCACTGGCTTCAGTCTTAAGTTGTTTTTAACTGAACTTGTAGATTCTATGATAGACATTGAATATAACTTTGCATTTAGCTCTTTCCATCTCTTTAATGACCTAAAGATGAGATCTTGGGAAGTTTAGTTTATTGAAATCTTGATGCGTCTATGAATGAAATCTGAGAGAATGTCAATTCTCTCATTCTTACATTGCTCTGTCCTTTTGATAAATATGGTTTAAGCTCAATCCAGTCCATTATGATTTCTATAGTCAACTAGATCAGGAAGAAAGGCCATTATTTACTGCGTAGGAGAAAACAATATCTTTCTACTTTTGGTTATCTAATTGAGATTTTTGGAACCTGATTTCGGTATGGTTTTATTATTAACAGGAGCAGACAGATTAAAATCAAGAAGTAGTGCTAGTCTGAAGAGAGAGCCTTCAGGCTTGAAGGATTTACCTGGTGCTCAAATCGCAGCACATACGTTCACTTTTCGTGAGCTTGCAGCCGCCACAAGTAACTTCAGACCTGAATCTTTTATAGGAGAAGGCGGATTTGGACGTGTATATAAAGGGAGACTCGCTAATGGCCAGGCAATTTTTCTATTTCAGTATATGCTTGTGTACATGAGTTTGCAGTTTTATTCAAATCTTGAAGCTCTTAAGAGTGGTGCAAGCTAGCTTCTTTCTCTTGACCATCTGTAGGATCCTTTTGGAATCTGGAAAGTGTTGAGAAAAAAAGAGAGAATAAAACTGAGGAAAAATTTAAAAGTTATATGTGTGTCTGTGCATGAATTAGCATTTTAATTAAATTTTGAAAGTTTTCAAGAATGGTGCAAGTCAGCTCTTCTCTCTTGATTTCATCACTGCCCATCATATGTGTTTTGTAGGAAGTGTCTGGAATCCGGAAAAAGTTAAATAAAGAAAATAGGGAGGAAAATATATGTGAGATTTGGAAGGAAAGGAAAATGAGAACTAAAAACTATATATCTGTGCCTGCATGACTAAACAATCTTATTCAAACTGTTGAAGTTTTCAAGCTTGGTGCTAGTCAGCTCATTCATCTTGATTTCATCACTGCCTACCATCCGTCATCTATATTTTTCTCTGGATGAGTGTTGATTATGGTCTGATGTATTGTAACGGGATGCAGGCTGTGGCTGTTAAGCAATTGGATAGGAATGGGCTTCAAGGGAATAGAGAGTTTCTTGTGGAAGTACTTATGCTAAGCCTTCTACACCATCCTAATTTGGTGAACTTGATTGGATACTGTGCAGATGGTGACCAGAGGCTTCTTGTCTATGAATTCATGGCCTTGGGATCATTGGAAGATCACCTTCATGGTAAATCATATTACTATACTCTTCATTCTAGCTATATGATACTCCCTCCATCCCGCAAAATAGTTCCCGGTTTCCTTTTTGGGCCGTCCCAAAAAATAGTTCCCATTTCCCCCTTTTGGAAAGTTTTGTGTGACTCACATTCATTTACCTTTTTCTTACAAAACCAAAACCATACATTTCCACTTTATTCTCACTTTCTTAAACTCCGATCCAAGTCAATGCGGGAACTATTTTATGGGACGGAGGGAGTATAATGTAAGGGACGGAGGGAGTATATGATTACATGGATAAATGCATTTATTTTGATGGACATTTTTAAAAATACGGATTATGGAGTGATAGTTACAGAAACGAATAAAACTAAAGACACGCTTTAGATATAAGAGTTGCGATTATATTTTGGTTGCAGTTTGATTGTGAGTTTCAAATTTCAACTCCATGAAGGTAGAAAACAGAAAGAACTAATTCTTAGGTGTTGTTTGGGAACTCTTTTCTTTTCTTTTTCTTTTTTCTTTTTTACTTGTCTGCCAACATAAATAAAGAAATATGTTTGATGGTAGTGTATTTGTTCACAATCCTTGGGGAAAAGGTTCCTTTTTTGTTCTTTATTTCGTTGTCTTTAGTAAACACGTCCAATTTGGACACTTTATAAATTATTTAGAGATTCTATAAAAGAATCTTGTTTTTTATTCTATTAAATAATATTTTCAGAACAGATCTACTCATCTACGAAATAAGTTTTTAGATTTTTAGCATAAACAAAAACAGAATATAAAAAAAGAATCAACCAAAAGAACAAAACAG